CAATGTATCATTGCATTATTTATCCTTCTTCTAACTCTAAGTGAGATATTATTGTTATAGGAATATATTAGGAAATATAGGGAATATATTGGAAAATTTTAAAAAAACACAAATAAGGGAAACTAAATGTCCCTTAATCTCATTAACTTCCAATAGCCATAATTATCAGTTTGAAATATTCTCCAGTTTTAATGGTGTGCATTTTTTCTAAGAAATAATTTGTAATTTTTGTTCCTGCCTCAAATTTAACATATCATAAGATTTTCTTGGGTCACAAATATTTCTGTAAACACTACTTTTTAATAACTGCATATTTTTGTAACAGATATGTTATAATTTACTTGATCAATCTTTTAAAAAGGATTTTAGATATTTCCCCATCATGAATAATGTGGTCTTGAATATATTTTTGCCCTAACTTTTACCTGTACTTTGGATTATTTATTTATGACAGATTTCTAAAGTTAAAATAATGAATCAAAAGGTGGAGATATTTTTATAAATCTTGATACATGTCTAAAAATTATCAGAATTGTATTACTCCAGTGTTATATAAAAATTCCAATATTGCTTCATTCTAAATTTTAAGTCTTTAATATTTTAAGTATTGAAAATCATACCTCACTTTAAAAATAGCATTTCTTTTATCTAGATTGAACATTTGGTGATTGGTTATTTGATGCACATTTCCAATTTTCAGCGTCTCTCCTAATTATGTCCTTTCTTTTAATTGGATTCCTTAAATTACTTTTTCTTATACTGTTCTTCTAACAAACTGAGTTAGTTGTTCACTATTCCTCATCAACCTCCCTTGTTTAATTGAAGATGATCAGGTAACTCCATGTTACCTGCTTCTGTGTCTTGTTCATGCTATTTCCTATACTTCAGGTGTTTTTCTCCCCATATCTGTCAATCAAAATTTTATCTACATTTCAAGATACATCATATATACCATCTTTTTCATAAATCATTCCAGGAACTCCCCATCAGACCTAATTTATTTCTTCTTTGGACATTCATATCATTTTATGATATAAATTTATTTGCTTATGTAAGGATGTTTGCCTTGTGATGCCTTTTATCATAATTATATACTTTGTGACTTCTGTATGAGATGATATTGATACTATATTGAAAGGCTGTTCTAATAGAAGATTTGTCCTCAAAATAAAATGAAATAAATTTCTTTACAACCCTTCCAGTTAACTTTATGACAGTATTTACACATTTGGGGTTTCTTTTAAACTCAAAATAAATATCCAGTTTTATTTGTAGATTGTCTTCCACAAGTTTTAGCAATAGTCTAAGAAAGGTTATTAGTTTGGGCCTTAAAATAACTACTGTGGACAACTTAAGGGTGGCAATATTAGAACTAAAAGCAATAATCCCATCCCCAAAGATTATTTAATATCATGAAAGCTATGAAAAGGTCATTCATTGTTTTTGTTATGTTATCTCTGGAATCATTCAGACCTTATAAAAGAGTTTCCATGAATTAAACTATCTGGCTTAAAATGTATATGGTTTTCTGATATTTTCGTAGGATCCCACCTAATGAACTGAGAAGAAAGTAGGCCATTAAAGATTGTTATCTTCTTCCTCAATAGACAGAATTCTAAGAAAAAAAGAGTTGGTCTCCAAATATTTAATAAAATTCTTTGGAAAGAAATACAATAGGGGTTCATTAATTTAACTTTCATTCATTCAAATATTTTTGCTAAATGCCTAAAATAATCCAGGCAATGTGCTATGGGCTGGAGATACTGAGAACAGTCAGGGTTTCTTCTCTCAAGAGGTTGCAGTCTATTGGCAGAGACTGAAAACAGTGCTAGGACAGAAATTCTGTGAAGAAAGGTCCCAGAGGAGGGGTGTTAATTAGGCTGGATGGGAGCAGGGCAGAGATCAGGAAAGGCTTCCCTGGTAGAAAGGTGACACTTAAACTCAATTTTATAGGCCAAGAAGGGATTAGCCAGCTGACAGTATGACCTTATTCATCCCATTATAGCTCTTTGAAACATTTAAGTCCTTCTAGATGGTTGATTTTAGCTGAAGGTCTGTGCACTACAGAGTGGAAAATCCTTAGTCAGGAATTCACAAACGCGTTTGCTTTAATCAAAGTTTGGGTTTGGCCTTTAACCTTTGGAAAGGCATTGCTAAAATGATTAATTAAAGTTTCTCTTACTACTATTTTTAATTCCTTTTGAATGCCTTTTGTTCACTAATACAAATATGGTTAAGAGCTATTTTAAAATATGAGGTCCTACACTAGGAGATTTCCTCAAGTCCTTATGAAAATATTTCTTTTGACTTTTCATGTAATGGAGGTTAGCTATTCCAAACTCCTGTTAATGTGGATATTTAGATCTCTTCCCATGAATCACAAATGTTCTTAGAGGCATCTAGAACAATGAATCCTTTCCATAAGGTTTTCAATTTATTTTACCCAGGTCCATTAGAGGAATCATATCCATGGCAGCTAGAGCCTTATGAAATACATTTCTTAAATAATAAGACTTGAAAGTCAAAATTACTCCTGGATCCATGGCTGCAGAATGGATGTTGTGTTAGCAGGCATGAAGACAACATTTATCTCTTTGTACATTTCCATCAGAGTTCTTGGGTGACCAGTGCATTGTCAATGAGCAGTAATATCCTTTTATTTATTTGTTTATTTGAGCACTATGTCTCAAAATTGAGCTTAAAATAGTCAGTAAATCATGCTATTAATATTAACAGATGTGCTGTCATCCAGGCTTTGCTGTTCCATTGATAAAGCACAGCTACAGTAGATTTAGCACAGTTCTTAAGTCCCCTAGGATTTTTGTAACGATAGATGAGCATTTGCTGCAACTTAATGTTACCAGCTACATTAACCCCCAACAAGATAATCACTCTGTTCTTTGAAACTTTGAAGCCAGGCACTGACATTTCCTCTCTAGCTATGAAGGTTCTAGATGGCAACTTCTTCCAATATAAGGCTGTTTTGTCTACATTAAAAATCTGTTGTTTGTGTAGCTAATTCATCAATTGTCTTAGCTAGAGCTGCTGAATCACTTGCTGAAGATTTTTTATCAGCACTTGCTGCTTCACCTTGCACTTTCATGGCATGGAGACGGCTTCTTTCCTTAAACCTCATGTACCATCCTTGGCTAGCTCTCAACTTTTCTTCTGCAGCTTTCTCACTTTTTTCACCCTTCAGAGAATTGAAGAGAGTTAGGGCCTTGCTCTGGATTAGGCTTTTATTTAAGGGAAAGTTGTGGCTGGTTTGATTTTTTATCCAGACCACTAAAATTTTCTTCATATCAGCAATAGGTTGTTTTGCTTTCTTATCATCTGTGTGTTCACTGGTGCAGCACTTTTAATTTTCTTCAAGAACATTTACATTCACCACTCAGCTAACTATTTAGAGCAAGAGGTCTAACTTTTAGCCTATCTCAGTTTTCAACATGCCTTCCTCACTAGCTTGATCATTTCTAGCTTTTGATTCAAAGTGAGAGACATGCAATTTTTCCTTTTACTTGAACACTTACAGGCCATGGTAGGGTTATTAACTGGCCTAATTTTACTGTTTTTGTGTTTCAGGAAATAGGTAGACCTGAGGAGAGGGAGAGAAGCAAAAGAATGGCCAATCACTGGAGCAGGCAGAACACACCATTTATTAATGAAGTGTAGGAGTGCAATTAGTGGTACCTCAAAACAATTACAATAGTAACATCAAAGATTACTGATCACAGATCACCATACAGATAAAATAATAATGAAAAGTTTAAAATATTGTGAATATTACCAAAATGTGGCACAGAGTCACTAAGGGAAAACATGCTGTTGGAAAAATGGCACCAATAGACTTGCTAAATGCAAGGTTGCCACAACCTTGAATTTATAAAAAAAAATATGCAATATCTGCGAAGCATTGTAAAGCAAAGTACAATAAGAAGAGGTATGCCTATATTGTGCTACCAAAAAAAAAGAACTGTTTTGGATACTCAGGTATCCAAGCAAAAGCAAACTTTGCTCCAAAGAAGAGTGAAAATCACTCTCCCACGGACACCGTGTATGGGTAATAATCAAGAAATCCCCACAAATAAGCACTCAGGTTAGAAAGAAGCAGAGAAGTAAAGCAGTTGGCAACATTTTTGGGTATAAAAAGAAACATTTGGGTATAAAAAGAAACACTATTGTCTCTGAAAATCAATTTGTAAATTTTCTACTTATGGCAAGTTCATAAGCAATGTGCAAGAAAAGATCTCCTGACAGCACTTGAACAATTTGCTCCAATCTTACAAAATAATGTAAACAATTGATACATGGAGAAAGACACCCATCCTATTCCCATACTCTCCTTCTTCTAAAGGGTAGGATTCCGAAGAGCTGGCACTAATGTAAGTTGCATTTAAAATGCTCACTAGGGAGTATGCCTGCAAGACCTACAGGAACATAGTTGGAACTTTAGGAATTGGGTTTGGAAGACAGATTGTGGAGACTTATACTATGGAGTAGGACAGATACTGGAAAACCTCTTCTCTCCCCTTCAAACTATCTCCTTTATTAAGTTCTTTTAATGATCACCATCATGTCCAGAGCAAGAATAAATGATAGCTATTAGTAGGTATATATCGTTACTTGTATAAAATAGGCAAAATGCCATTTTGAGGGGAAATAAATATTTTTAAAAAGTTTAAGGGATTTTCTGGTCCCTTTTTTCTCACAATTTCATGGTTTTTTCCTAGAACCTATCAGTTCTATGAAAGGATGTGCCACTATCTATAATTATCTAAAAAGAACTGTCCAAATATATAGACATTCCTTTGTCATTCTTGTTATTTGATCGAATTATTTGTAAATGCCTAAATGTTACATTATAGTCATTATCATAGAATAAACTAAAAAGCGTCTATTACAAATACAGCAAATGCAATATATGTATTAGTCATATCTATGTCAAAGGTCCTGGGATATGAAGTATATAGTATATCTTTTTTGGTTTTGTTTTGTTTCAGTGGTTGGAAATGATGGATTTTACATAATACTGAAAGGCGTAGCTCAACCTCAAATAAAGGTGTATGAAAACATATTTGAAGGAAATGACTCAACAGCCTCTTTCATATCTCAGAGTTTCCATAACATTATTTTTAATGAAGACTTGAAAAATTCTGTACTTGCTGAAATGAACCTACCTTCACATGGCTCACTGGTAAGAAATGAATATTTGTTTTTTCCATAAACAAGGTAACATGCTTGTAAAATTTTACCTCTTCCAGATATGTATATCCAAATATTTTCAGAGTCCTGAAGTAGTCAAGATAATATATCCTTTAAAATATAAATTGTACGATTAATATTGAACTTGAAATTTGATTACAAATTTTTGATGAAGGATACCTTCAGCAACATACTGCCCCCACTGGCAGGGCTTGTGCACTGTATCTGATAACCGAGACAAGGTCAGTGTGGCTGGATCCCTGAAAGAGGAAGGATGGTAGTTTGAGATGAGGGAGAGGGATCAGGTAATTTGAGGAGGAGAAGACAGAAGAATGATCATGAAGGGCTTTTAAATCAAATCAAGAATGTGTATTTTTCATGTTTATCTCAAGAGCAATGGCAAGGTAATCAAGGGATTGATTTCATTACAGTCAGAAATTCTTAATCAAATAAATCTTTTGCATCTGTATAGTATTTCAAGACTTCAAGACTAGTAGCTGTCAAAAATAAAAGTTCAATATGTCTTTTGATCTCTGGATACTCTACATGGGAATCAAGTCTGGTTTGAATAGATCGTGACCAAAAAACCCATTCTAGATTTAGGGTGGCCAAAATGTCCAATGTAGAAAAGGAACCAATTAAAGCCAAATTATTTAGCATTATAGGTTGCAGTCAGAAACACCTAGGACCAATATCAAGCTCAAGAAGAATGAGTATGGACAAAACCAAGAAAGGATGACAAGAATGAAAATGAGACAAGCCTATAAAAATATTGTTTATCTCACCTGAATGAATAATGTTTCTGGACCTCTTTCTTTATGGGAATGGAAAAGAATACATTTGCCATGTCAGTGGCCACATACTATGGACCTGATGTCATTTTAATCTGCTCTGGCAAATACTCGATATTTGGTACAACAGTTATGACTAGCACTGTTTCTTAGTTAAATTCGTAGTAATCAAATCCAATCTTTGAGGATCCATTTGGTTTTTTTTGAAGGCCAAACTTACATATTAAGTGGGGATATGATGGGAATCACCAGCTCCGCATCCTACATTAGGTCTTTGAGAACAGCACTAATCCGTGACGTTCTACCTGAGATGCGATACTGTTTTTGATTTGTTGTCCTGGCCAGGGTGGGGAGAGAGGTAGAGAGCAATTCAGAGACTTCCACTTCATCTTCTTTACTGTGATAGCTCTTACCACACTGGCCAAGAAACCAATGTGGGGGTTCTACCAGCTATCAAGTATCCATTTAAATTATATATGTAGGGACCATGCAAATCACCACAGTGTGGGTCTGTGGACCCCAGTGAGCCACTGTGAACCATACCTGAACCAAAACTCTATTTTTTAGACATTTTGCATATTTTCCCACTGTAACAGGTGGCCACGATGACATTTTATGTACCAAGGTTTTAATGTCACTATTTCAAATTTTAGAGCTCCATTTCTTCACTTCTTTCCAATCAGGGCCATAGCCTTAGCATAAGTTACCAAAATACTTGCTGGGTTCAAAACTGTTATAGCAGAACTCCAGAAAATATGAAAATATATAAATATATGTATGGTATTTATATATATATATATGTAAGTATGAAGCAAAATCCTTAGATATTTCTGCCCTCTAACTGTAAAAGATGAGATTTACTATATATGCTGCCAAGGAACACTTGGATTAGATAATTCATCTTAAACTGGTGATTGATTTTCCTCACTTTTTACTGTTTTCCTCTAGTGCATTCCTACCTCCCAGCAAGTCATCCTATGCCATGATTCTTGTAATCACTCATCCCACAACATCTCAAAAGTCTGAGATATTGTACCTTCCAGTGCATTCTCTACCACCAGCACCTCGTGCCTGTTCAACACCATTAAACCTTTATCAGTTGTACTGATACAACATGTCAGGGACTATCAGTACTCCGGTGATGGATTCTTATTGCTAGCTGGCTGGCAGGCAATTCAGCTCTAAATCTCATTTTTTTCTACTTTAATAGAATCTTTTGAAAAAATAAAAAGATAGAAATCAAGGCAGGCAATTTTAACTGTCAGCGACTGAATGGTTTTTGCTGTTGTTTAGGTTTGCAGAAAGACAAGTATTGGGTTAGTGACTAAAATTTATTTTAGATTGCTTAAAAATTTAAATGATTCTTGCCAAGTCTGTCCCCTGTAGAAATTATGAGTTAGTTGTAGTTATAAAACATGTTGTTACTCTTTCCTTAATTTTAGAAACTTGACTTTCTGTGTATTTACTTAATGGACCTTTTTCACATAAAAATATTACTGCTTCCAAAAATTTGTGCCTAGGAGAGTTTTGTGGTTTTGCACAAATAAATAAGGGTTATATTTTTTTCTTCTTTTATTTGGCTTTTTTGTTATTATTTGCTTTTTTATTGTGATGTAACAGAGAATCAAACTACTAAGAAGGAGAAAAAATTAATAACATCTTCACTGTTCAATTTAACCCTGATAGTTTTGTAAACAAATGGGTATCACCTGAATATAATGAACATAAGTTGAAAAACATACAGTCTAAGGTCGAAATTTATTTTTCATGAGATAATTTATGGTTCTGAGTAAACATTGTTAGAGTTACAAACATCTGCCTTACTTACTCCCTGCTGTAGATCTAAACTGGAGAAAAAAATTCGTGTAGTATAAATGTACAGCAAAATTTGTTTTGCTTTTTTTGAAAATAGATGTATACATTGAAGCTAAAAGCTTTTTCATTTGAGTGTCTTAAATAAGGAAAGAGAGAAAAATTACATATTCATTTACATGATTACCAACTTTTCTTTCTTTTTTTTTTTTTTCCTTTTTTTCTTTTTTTTAGAGGGAGGGCGCGCAGCGGGGCGGCGCGCACGGCGAGGGCGGGGCCTACATGATTACCAACTTAATACTTCTAAGTAGTTTTAAAATCTTTCACTTATTTTATTTTTTCTAATTAATCTTACAATTTTTCAAGTTACAATCATAAATAAATTCAAATTTCTTAGAGACATCTCAGTATAAGTACAGTGTTATATGGCAAAATGTATACATGCACATATACACAATACTCTCCTATATTTTGTATTTATGTACTCCTGTATTTAATATATATTTCTGTGCTACAATAAAATATATTTGATTAAAATATATTCTTGATATTATAAAATTTAGCAACATTATAAGAACAAATTATGTTGAAGGTCCTCAATAATTATTAAAAGAACTTTCTAGTTTATTAATAGAACTTTTCTTTGCAATGCAAACATTTTGAAGCTATGTGGAAAAATTCATTTGATAAGAATATGTATTCTACAAGCTGGAGAATGCCCAGTGGAGGCAACGTTATAAAATAGCTATTTTTTTTTTCACACCAAGGTTTTCAAACAAGTAGTCCAATATCTTTCTTCTGTGTTCCCTGGATGAAATCTCAATCAGATCCTAGGTATTAACAAATAATCTTGTTTTTGCAGTCTTAAGAATTCCAGTCCTGTCTTCATATTAAATTTTCAATCTGTCATGCTTGACAGCTCTGTGTGTGCCTTATTGTGCCATAGAATCCTGTAGTGGAGAGAGAGGTTAAATCAGTTTATTCCTCCTTTCTTACTTTACATACTCTTCTACTTACTAGCTCCTTTTTGTGGTTCTTCTCAGCCAAGATCAGGAAAGGCGGGAGAGTGGGTATTAAAGATAAAATGCTATGGGACTTTCTATGATTGGATGTCCAAATTGGGCTCTTTTTCTCAGTCTTTTGTGTATTGTTCCTCCTGTAATTCCCTGAAGGGGTGTTGCCTCCTGTAGGGGGGTATTTTATACCACACCCTTGGTCCATGGTTTCAGGCAATGTTGACCACAAGGATTTTTGGGTCAACTCACCTTTGCAGGAGGTTCTCTAGACTTATTCCCTTTTCAGAGAGTTTATGTTGGCTGCTTTTTGTGGGTCCACCTGACTAATGGGGGAGGGAGAGCCTCAAATTTACTCCACTAAATTTCTGTCTTCTCATTTGAGGCCAGGGGTCAGAGGGAGTGGAGGAGGAAGAAAACCTCAGGAGTATGACACCTGTCAAGAAGTCCTCTTTTAATCTTTGCTGTCAACTTACTGATCTCAGTTTTCAAGAGGATATTGAATTTAAGGTTTAAGAAGTTTATACTTATTTGAGACACTACTTGAAATTATGGATGGACTTTGACTTATACCCACAATAGCATTTAACACAATAATTAATACATGGAAGACTTTTGAATGGATAACAATAAAAGTATCTAGCAGTGTCTGTCTAACATGATGAAGGAAGAATAATAATGTGGTCACTGCTGTGGTGTAGGAGTGAGATTATGAAAGCATGAAATACACAGTGGTTTGTTCATTGATATATGGTTTCTTCCACTAGAGAAAGAATACGTCTTTTCATAGGGCAGTTGAATAGTAATTTCGTTTTTAGATCCAGAATAAAACTAGACCAGTAATTTCAAACAAGGACAGATTCCAACTAATTTTAAGTTCTGGGTCAAGAATATTGAAATATCTTGGAAGAGTAAAGGCAAAGGCATGTTTAATAAGGACAAAGAATATATATTTAAGATATCTCGTTCCTCTGCCTCCAGATTTCTGATAACGGGTGCTGCTGATGTTCTGTGTATGCTGTTCCCTAGGCTCAGTTTCCCTTACTCGTTTATCGCCTCTCCGTATCCAGGATTCTTCACAGATTCATTCCGAGTCTGGTCTTCCATTGATTCCCTCCATCTCTTATCTCATTTATTCCCGGACTTTTAAATGGTTCTCTGCTACTTTTAAATGTTAGTCTCCCCTGACTCCTATCCCAACCCCAACGTAAAAATGACTTCCTTGAAGTCAAGGAGCTTATTTTTTTCTGATGCCTAGTAAGAGTATGCTAGGAACTTTAAAGATGTTCAATAAGAATAAATTAAATTAAACTCGTTTAATTTAATTAGACAGAGCCTTCAAAATATCAAAGATGAACCGTGAAATGAGTTTTGATTCAACTAAATTGCAAATGATAGAGGATTGAATCCACATTGATTCAAAGCTCTGTTTTTATATATTACATTTATTTTATCCAAATTGACATGTTTAAAATATATGCAATTATATTTTGCTTAAAATAAAATGTAAATATTAGAATATTTAAAAGCTCAAAACTAAAATGTCAGTCAGGAAATATTTTTGCTCTCACAATGAAATTGGAACATAATATCTAATCATCTCTCTAGTCATTTAAAACTTTAATATAGATAGCTTGTGATACATTTATAATGTGAGGGTATTTTTTATTATTACTGCATATAGCAGCCTATTGTCTTCACAGAGAGTTAAAATGTGCGGTGCAATTGAAAATAAACACCAGGTCATAGCAAATTTACTACTATTTGTAAATAAATTAGAGAAAGAGTAAAAATTGCACTATGTCTAAGATGTTTTTACAGCTCTTCTATTATAAAAGCAATAAAGGAGAGATGTTCATTGGTATATATTAAGTCTGCTTACCAATGATTTTCAAAAAAACATCATAAAATAAAAGGACTTTACATATAAACGTTAACTTAGATATATTTCATTTCAAAAACATACACTTAAATAGAATTAAAGCTTCCAATCATTTTCTTATATCTTCCTCCATTTTTAATTTTTTTAAGACTGTTTCTCATTTGATTATTTTTGAAGACACCAAAATATATTCAAGGTTCCTGTTTATCTTACAGTTCTAGGTATTGGATTTACAAACCTTAAATAATTTCAACTTTATACAAGGTTAAAAATAAGTGTTAAATTTGAAGATAGGGAAGTAAATGCAGTTTCTGGTTTATATGTGATTGCATGCCCCCTGTTTCATTGTATGCTCATTTTACTCTCAAGATTTTTGTCTTGTTGCTTATTTATAAGACCTTTGATTATAATAGTGGCTTAACTTATTTTCTATTACATGTATTGCAACTATTATCTTCCAGTATAATATATTGTTAATGTTTTGCTTTATGGCTCTTTTATCTCTATAGATATGTCAATTTTATGTAGTCAAATATATTTATTTCTACCTTTAAGGCATCTGAGTTTCTCTGTCACCATGATTTTATAAAAATATGTTTTAAAAAAATTTTAATCTATGCTTTTATTGATTTTATCTTTACGTTTAGAGCTTTTGAAAATCTGAAATATTCATGTTCTTTGCAATGTAACTGTAGTTTTTCAATTGTGTGTCCTATTGATCCAACGCTACCACTAAATTTCTAAATATTTTTAATTTCAGTTTTGAACTCCTCTTTGAATTGGAAATTATTCTTTAAAAGATAGGTGTTTAAATGTTGATTGCATCTTTAAATTTCTCTCTATCATTACACATGTTTTTCTCTGCTTCATGTGTCAAATTCTGAAAATTTTCAATTAAATTGGTCCAAATGAGATTGTGATTCAATGAAATTATACTTATTGTTTTGAAGGTTCTTGCCTTAATACTCTTGAAATGGTCATGTTTAAAATTTTCTTTTCTCCCAAGTATTTTTTAGAAGATTTATAATTTATATTTATCTTGCTATGTTTGCTTTCCCAATTTATGATGAGGAAACTAATGTTAATAATTACTGAGTGCTTATCACATGCCAGATTCATTTAAAGTCTAGCAGAATCTTGGACTGATGTCTCACATCCATTGGTGTACTTTACTTTAGTGCCTATTTCATTTTCATGAAGTTTTCCAGAACTACTGCCTTAAGACCACAGTTCCTTTACTTTTCTGTTGTGTTGTTTTTTGCAATTGCCTTGGGATATTTTACTATTTTAATTTTAAATTTTACTAACAAACACAAAATGATGAAAAGATGAGGCAAGACTTCTCTATAATTTTTGCTCTGGCAAGACTGTTTTGTGATTTTTCCATTGCTTCTAGAATAAGCTTATTTATACTTTCTCATTTCCCACATCATAATTTCCATTGTCTCTTCCTATAATTTCCATTGGAGTGAGAAGCTTTTGAGTTCACAGAACCCAAAATGGATGATGCCAATAACTATCAGCATTTTTGACATCAGCATAAGCTTTGAGAATAATCTGTAACTTTTCTAATATAGAACATTTTTTTTTCTTCTTACAATTGAAAACCATTTCATGAAACTTGATTAGAGAATTTGGTCTTAACTTTTGAGTCAGTTAAGAGAGTTTTATATTTGTGTAATCTAAATGCCTACCAATAATGGTTTAAACATTAGGATATTTGTTATCTAGAAAGTCTAGAGAGAGATGACTTAAGAGTTTGATTAATCTAGGGCCACAACAATGTTAGCTGGGCACAGAAGCCCCCCACCCCCACCCCCAGCTTTCCATCCTGTCCTTTGAATACTAGATTTCTTCCTCAGATTTGCTGCTCAATTGTGGATATTCTTCCAGTCGTGAGGTGAGGGGTGTTTCATCATCATGTTCCCTTTTATCAGTGAAGGGAATATTCCCACAAAATCTATAGAAGGCACAGATTCCCACTTCTGTCTCATTGATCAGACAGGGTTATATGTCTGCCTTTCAACCCAAAATTGACAGAGGTGAATATGATCACCATTATTAGTTTAGAGCAATCAAGATTAAGTCCCAAGGGATAGGTCCATGACCTCTGGACACTTTGCAGCCTGATTCATGTCTGAACCAAATTAGGCCTCTGTTAACAAGCAAGGTAGGAATAAAGAAGTGCTGTTGAGTAGATGAATATGTTTCTGACATGAAATCCTCAGGAGTTCCTTGGACATTATGCCAGACAATCATTCTGCAGATCCTCAAGGCTCACTACCGAAACATGACCCTTAAGACCATTAGTGAAATTTCAGTTCCCTAGTTCTTGTGGTATTGTCTTCCTAATATTTTGAGTGTTCAATATGACTGGTACTTTAGTAATATGACAATCTTTCTTAAAAATTG